GGACATTTTTTTTGGCAGTATCTGCTAAAGCAAAGCTGTTGACCAGCAATTTAATTCCTTGGTATATACCCAAGAGCAGTATGTGGATTTCTTAACCAAGAGGTAAGTATTAGAATGTTTATAGAACTATTTGCTTTTTCCTCTCCCCACTATCTCCCCCTTCCACCACACGTCCATCCACTCACCCATTATACTGAATCCAATTCTGTTACACTTTATATATGTACTTCTGTGCATCTCCTAAGAACTGGGGTATCCTTTTATATAGCCACACTACAGTGTTTGAATTCAGGAAATCTAACATAATACAATATTTTGATTTAATATGCCATCTGCTTTTTAATTTCACCAATGGTCCTAATCATGTCCATCAAAGCATTATTTTTCCTGATCGATTATCCAATCCAGGATCCTGCATTACAGTTAGTTGTTTTTATCTCCTTTAACTTGGAAGAGTTCCTTAGTCATTCTTCGTGTTTTATGAGTAATATGTTTGAAGAGCTCAGGATTATAGAATGTTCATCAGCGTGGCTTTGTCTAAATTTTTTCCTATATTTAGGTTACGCATTTTTGGCAAGAAAACCACAGAAGTGATGCTGTGTTCTCCGCATATAAAGATGCGCATATATATGTTTATCCCCTTATTGGTTATAATAGCTTGGATTCATTGATTAATATGGCGTCCACTATGCTTTTGCATTACTATAATTTTCCCTTTGTAATTAATAAGGTATGTGTGGGGAAATACTTTAACTCTGTAGTTATTCTGTTCTCTAGATTTTCAGGTTTTTGGTATCCATTGAGGATTCTTGCCTGAATTAAAGAAATTGTTGTAAAATGATTTTTCTTTCATTCTCAGCACATTTATTAGTTGGCATTTACCGTAAGAACTTTTTTTTACCACTTGAGTATGTATTAGTGGTATGAACTAATGGTTTTTTTTTTTTAATTTGAAGTGTTATAATCTATTTCTGTCCGATATTCAACCAGTGAGTACCCTGTCAAACTGACTTCTGTACATTTCTTCATTTTCTTGGGTGCTTGGCCCTGTTCCAGATTTACCTGTACTTTTTGTAAACCAATCCTAGAAGCAACCTTTTCTCCAAGTAGACATGTTTCTTTTCAAGAAGAATGATAATCTGAAATCCGAATTTCTTTTTTTTTTTTTTAAAGATTATATTTATTTGAGAGAGAACAGAGGAAGAGGGAGAGGGAGGAGCAGACTTCCCACTGAGCAGAGAGCAGAGAGCAGGGCTGGATCCCAAGCCTCCAAGGTCATGACCTGAGCCAAAGGCAGACGCTTAACCAACTGAGCCACCCAGGCACCCAGAAATCTGAATGTTAGATGTGCTTGCTGCTGCTTCGATGGCTTTGCTGCTAGGGCCTTTTAGGAGACAGGAAGTAAATCCATATCATGAATGCACACTAACACCTCTGATAGGCTAACATTACGGACTTCTTCCTTGTCTTCCCTCACTCCATGTTTGTGTCTTCTCCTACTGTGAGGATACCAATATATTACTGATTTGCTTAATCTGACAATATACCCATTATGGTTTAAGAATTGCTACACCTATTAACAAAAGTAGAATATTCCTTTGCAGGTTGTTTTTTTGTCTTTAGACCGAAGATATTTAATCAAAATATTGTATTCAAGACTTATGTACACTTTTTATCCTATGTGGTTAAGAATTTGAAATAGAATTCAATTTATTACTTTTGTTTATATTCAATTTCATTTTTCCTGTCTATTTAATTTTACTTTTTGTATATGTAAGCATTTAAAGGATTCAAAAGTCAAACTCTGCAGAATTTTGTCTCTTTGAACCCAATTCCCCCTATCCCTACAGGAAATCAATTTCATTATTTCTGGGTATCCTCTATTGTATGTGTGTGTGTGTGTACACTTATATATACATACAAACATGCACATATATAATCCAGTATGTATATATGTGTGCATGCATATGTATACACACTGAAAATAACTCCAGTTCTCAAAAGATTTTTGGTTTTTTTTAGAATTGCCTCTATTGTGTGGATGTACCGTAATTTATTCAGCAATGTTCCCATATGTATTAGGTTTTTCCAGTATTTTACAACTTAAAATAATGAATAATGCATTATGCATATGTTTTTATGTTGTTTTATCTTCAAGGAAAATTTTAGGAGTAGAATTTCTTGGTCAGAAAATAAATGCATGGGCACCTGGGTGGCTCAGTGGGTTAAGCCTCTGCCTTCAGCTCAGGCCATGATCTCAGGGTCCTGGGATCAAGCCCCACATTGGGCTCTCTGCTCAGCAGGTAGCCTCCTTCCTCCTCTCTCTCTGCCTGCCTCTCTGCCTACTTGCGATCTCTGTCAAATAAATAAAATCTTTTAAAAAATTAAAAAAAAATAAATGCAATGTAATTTTGTTAGATAACCAACATGCCCCCAAAATGGGCACAAAAAGTCATCAGAGCACCCTTCTCGGGATGATGGTAAGTGAACCATAGTTCTCTGAAAACCTCTAGCCTGAGAGGTCAGATCATACAGTGCATTTGTAAAGCAAATAATTCAATAGACTTTAACTGTGTTCCTAACTGTGTACTAATAAATGTTGTAGGTATTGGGGATAAAAAGGAACATTCTAGGAATCCTAAGGGAGCATCTTCACTAAGGGGCCACTTTAGCAGGGGCCAGATGGAATTCCACTGCTCTTACCTCTGAACAGAGTGACTTGAAGTTTGGCAGCACTTCCCTGAGCATGAGTTCCCATTGACTCAAAGTTTTATCTTACACAGAATTATCCCCGCATCATGTGAGAATCAACACCCAATATACCTGTTGGTAGTATTGAGAAAAGGAACTTGAGTTTGGCAAATTCAAAGTGGAAGGCAAATGAATATAGGTGCAAAAACTCGAACGCAGGACTTCCCTCCTGTTGGGGGTGGGTGGGAAGAATGGTAAGAAGGTGAACTTGGGAATCAGGAAGTCCTAAAACTTCAAGTTATAACAATTGAAAGTCACCAAACATTTGGTGGTCTGGACAGAAGGGGTATTTAGAAAGTACATTTCAACTGCCCCCAAACTCTTAAAACTTATTGAAAGTTCGGAAAAGAAAAATACTGAAGATTTGGAAACCGATTGTATACTGCTGCTTGAGTATATAAAATTACCATTGGTAAAATGCTACTGATGATGTGTATTTCATGTGTAATTTTCATTATTTTGACAACTATAAAAAATATGAGGACGTTTGCCACCTGAGTTCTACTTTTTTTTTTTTTTTTTTTTTTTGTCTAAAAGCTGTTTTTCAACTACACATTTTCTTATCATGAAGTTTTTGGATAAAATTCTCTCACATAGCAGGCATTTTCCTCCAAGGGAACTAGATTTCCGACTTCACAGCCATACCTTATTCAGAGGAATGTTAATGCAGGCTCTCTGAGAAGACTTTTCTAACTCCATCCTCAGATTCCGACAAAATGAAGTTTGGACTATCTGCTCCATGGCTTCATAATGGTTATCGTTTGGAGCTGAATATGAGGAAATTCTTTTGAAACCTTGGTCTAAATATTCCACGAATACTAGAAGTAACTCAATTTGCACTCTATGTAATTTTGTGGTATTTCAAGCACAATAAAGTGGTATTGTGGAATATAACATTAAAACAGTAATATATAAACAAGAACAGAAAATATAGAAAATATCTTTTATTATTGTGCATGACTTGAAATGTTGACATAGGTTTCACTATGATAGAAGTGTAGATCTTACATGAAATTCTGTTTAGGAATATTGGTCATTAATTTGTAATTTAACAAATCTATTAGGGAAACAAAAATACACATTCTTCTTTAAGAAGATATTGGAACTTTCAGTTTGAAAGAGAATCATACATGAAAACAAGGATAATTTCTATAGTAGTTTAATCCATACTTTATGGTAAACCTAACATCTAACAATTATGAATGTATCTATTACCTTGAGGTATTATAATTTGACATTAATTTCTGTATTTAACACGAAAGTACTATAATTACCAACTTTTAGTGAAACTAGTAAGAATTAAAACCTCACGTCTTAGTTGGTTTTTAGAATTTTGTAAGACACATTAAATCTGAGAAAAAATAAGTAACAGATTAATGCCCAATAAACGTTTCTGTCATTATATGAAACAGCTTTTTTACTTTGGCAAAACTAATAATGCCATTTTATGACTCTCAGGTATTTCATAAAATTTGTTAGAGCATTAAGAAAATTAAAATGACTCAAATGTGTTTCTAATTTTCCAATGATTCTATCAGATTCTTTTACACTGAATATTCCACTTCATTGTATAATTTTCTGTATTCCTACTTCATTGTATACATTGACATAAGTGTAAGCAGCATGATGCATTAATGTTTTGAGAAAAAATAAACTCTTCCAATAAGTCCTACAAAGACAGTTAATTCTGAATCTCTCACCTGTGTACTACTTTCACGGTGACGGTAAACATACCACCCTCTCTTTTAGCTTTAAGAACACCAGTGATGTTTGTTTTTATGTGATTTGTGCAAATCATACAAAAGGGACAACTAACTCCTATTGGAAATCTTTTAAGTTCCAAGCTAACAGAGAAATGTCATCAATTTCCACATCTTACTTGGATACTTTTTACTTCTGTGTTTATTTTATAAGTGATGCTTTGATAGAAATAATAATACAAAGTCTAGCTTCTTAGAATATTTTTCGTTTTGCCAAACTTAACTGAATTCTTTCCCCCAAAATGACACATCTTATTATGTTCTAATGTTTACCTAAAATTAGCATTTTTCTTAGATGTGGCAACTGTTTAAAGATCTATAATAATTTCTGCAACTAATAGCCAAATACTTTTGCCTAAAGGGTAAGTAGAATTTCAAATATTTATGCCATTATTGTATACTGATAACACTCTACATGCCTTCTGATAGGCTGTGTGCACTTCTTCAAAATCTTCAAACTTCCTCAGAAATAAGAGTCCCCAAAAGTCATTTATGTAAAAATTGTTTAATATTTACTAACTTATTACAGAGTGGTTTGCATTTTAATTTTTACTGCATTAGCATTTGGCATTAAGACAGCAGCGGGTCAAGTCTGGCTTTCTTTGCGGAAGGTTCACTGGAGTAGAGTAATCACGACATGGTCATCTCGGCCTTGCCATAGCATCTCTCCTTCGAAGTCAACCAGCCCATGCTTCCTGGCACGCATGAGAATGCCCACCACTTTATCTGAGATACGAACATAGCGGTCAAAGAGATCTCCGAAAGTAACCTGGATCTTGCCATCTCGTCGGTGGCGGGCCATCGTGCGGATGATGAAGCACATGTCCATGATCTCTCTGTAGATGTGCTCCTCGGCTCGCTTGGCCCTTTCCGCCGTTTTGGTTCCCTCCTTGGGACGCCCGTAGCCTTCGTCTCCTTTGTGAAGACGGGTGGACATGGCCAGCTGATAATCGAATTCCTCACTGAAAGGATTGAGCTTCTGGGATTGTATGTGTTCATCAGCCCATTGTTGCCATCTCCCTTTCAGGCTGTCCACTTGACTGTATTTCCGTTGGGCCTTGCAGCTGAGTTTCTCTGTAAATCTATTTGCCCTAAAAGGGAGAGAGAATGAAGAATCAAAATCCTGATACTTGACATCCAAGTGCTGCTTTGTCTTTGTACTTCCCACGCGTAGGCGCCTTTCTGTAAGTGTAATTTTCTTCATTATAAACAATATAATCATAAGACAATGAATTAGAAATGAGAAAAATTAGAACAGTCACACCATTGTTTTTTATTTTTACTTGAGGAGAGCTGACAACGACCATTGTCCTCATTTTGGTGCACTATAAAAAATATTAAACTATTCCAGGAAAAAAAAATCTTTTCACAAATATAATGTAAATATGAATATCTTAAAATTATATGTTGATGACATTTTAGCATTGGAATCATATAAATGTTTTAAGGGAAACCACTTTGTATAGGAATTCAGAAACCAGTTCTTTCCCCAAAATAAGGCTTAGTATAGTAGCATATACATTGTATTATTCACGTATGTATATATGTTCATATATAGATTTTTGATGAGAGCATATTTATATTAGTATCAATGATGTGCCACAAATCTTGGAATATCAAGTTGTAAAGATAGAAGACAGCTGCTAACAATAGTAACATTTATCGAATTCTTTGTGCTGGCATTCTTCTAAATACTTTATATTAATATTCCTACAACCATTTTATGAGATAGGTCTGACTATTCTCACTTCCCAGATGAGAAAGCTGAGGTCAGGGTGGTTAAATTACTCACTTAAAGTCACAAACCTGGTAAGTGATAGTGCTGGGATTTGAACCAGGCCTGTGTGTAACTACTGCAAAATACTGCCCTAAACCAGTGACAAAGGTAGAATTCAAACACCCACTGTCTGAGGCTGAAGTCAATGTCTCCCCACTGTGCAGGGATGTCTGTCACTTCCACGAGTACAGAGTCCAATAAGTAGATGAGTTGTGTTTCACGGGTGTGTGTGTCTTTGCAATGTGGAATGCATTTTCTTATTTAAAAAACAACAACAACAACAAAAACCAGACCAAAACAAAACAAAAAACAGCCTTGAAAGTATAGATCGGTAGTGACATGAAGGTACAGGCCAATTTTAAAATGGGTAAAATTTGTCTTTAAAAGATTTCTCTGTCTTTTTTATCTCCAGTCCCCTAGACCCTTTCTCCTAGAAGCTCTTTGCCTTCGTGAGTAAAACATGAACTCCTGGACTATGGAAAGGTCAGAGATTCGTAGTCCTCAATGTCACAAACGACCCACCCTTCCTTCTCCCCCCACACCGAGTGGCCTCACGCCTGGAAGCACTGGGACTGGAGGTGCAGAGCCTCCTGCGGCTGCGGAGTGAGCAGTGTGCCTGAGCTAAGCAGCCCTTTCTTCCAAACTCTCACAAGTCTCTATTCAAAACCCAGTTACAGCTCAGATGTGGGTATTCCTCATGACCCAATCTCACTTCCTGAAATCTGGTTATCCAAAGGCAGGAAACTCAGACACACAGACATGGATAGGGAGACACCGGTACTTAGATTAACATTTTCGAAAGAGGCATTAACAGCCACTAGATGGCAAACTTTCACTAATTCCCATGTTTTATGTATTCAAAACTATTCTCAAGGCATTCTGTTTCATTATTATGCCAGAGCTCAAACTGGGGGTACGGCTGATACGTAGAACGCTGCTATTCTTTGTAGCCACTTGGACAAAAACATATGACAAAATAAATTGGGAAATAGCATGTAAAAAACTATACACAGTTACTGCAGTTTTAAAAAGTCACGCGAACATGGAAAAGTGCTAGGAATTATACCACACTGAAATGGGATGGCTTTCTCTCAGTCCTGCTGGTCCTCACCATCACCTGCCTCTCCATAGACTGTCCCTGTTTAGCTTCCCAGAGTGGGGGCTGCTTGATCTCATTATCAGATGAGAGCAAACTCCTTCTCCCCTTAGAATCATGGCAATACATGACAAGCATAATCTTGAATAACGAGCTCAAGGCCATTCCAGCATAACCCAAAGCTCTTGCCTGATTTGAGGCAGGGACATCCTGCTAGAGAAAAGACTCAAAACATCTCAAAAGAAATTGAGGAGAATGGCATAATTTGTTAACTCATACTTGTGTCTCCCAAATACAGACTACAGTTCTGTCCTGTATTATAAAATGTAAGTTTTAGTAGTTCCCGCTTATTCCCAGGTTCAGTTACCCACAGGCAACTACAGTCCGGAGGCAAATGAACCTCCTTCTAATGAGTCATCGGGTCAATAGTAACCTAACGCTACATCACCGTGCCTACATCATTCACCTCACTTCATCTCATCACGTATGCATTTTTTCTTTTTCCCCTTCCTTCCTTCCTTGCTTTCTTCCTTCCTCTTTCTTTCTTTTAAGAGAGAGAGCACATGAGTGGGGAGGGACAGAGGGAGAGAGAGAATCCCAAGCAGGCTCCATGCCTAGTATAGAACCTGACATGGGGCTTGAACTCATAACCCTGAGAGATCATGACCCAAGCAGAAATCAGGAGTCAGACACTTATATGAGACACACAGCCACCCCTCATCACATAGGCATTTTATCATCTCACACCATCATAGTAAGAGTGAGTAAAGAACAATATTGAGTGAGTATAGAGTAAGTATAGAGTATAGAGTAAGTACAGAGTGTAGAGTAAGTATAGAGTAAGAGTGAGTATAGAACCACAAGGTATTTTGAAAGAGAGACCACATTCACATAACTTTTATTATAGTACACTGTTATAATTGTTCTATTATTATTGTGGTTAAAATTTCTTACTGTGCCTAATTTATAAATTAAGCTTTTTCATAGACATATATGTATAGGAAAAAACATAGGATATATAGATCTGATATTTCCTGCATTTTTAAGCATTCATGGAGGTCTTAGAACATATCTTCCATAGATAAGGGGGAGCTACTGTACATCTTTCCTTTAAGGAACTTCTGGGTGTGCCTGGGGGGCTCAGTCATTAAGTGTCTGCCTTTGGCTCAGGTCATGATCACAGGAGCCTGGCATCAGGCTTCCTGCTCAGCTGGGAGCCTGCTTTTCCCTCTCCCTCTTCCCCTGCTCGTATTCCTTCTCTCGCTATATCTCTCTGTCAAATAGACAAATAAAATCTTTTTTAAAAAAATAAGAAACTTCTGGCCAAGTTGGCATACTTTCCATCTTTTTATTAAGGTATTTATGACACTGACTATGTGTCAGACACTGTTTTAGGACCTTATTGAATATTCAATATTTTTTTAAAAGTAGCCATTAAAAGACATCTGTGAAGATAATCAGAGTAATACCAATTTTATATGGTAAAATTCTAACTATATAAAATGCGTATACATCAAGATGAGGAAATCAGTGGCATGTGCACAATTGAAAATAATTGTTAGTATCTGGATGGCAGGTTTTTTTTTTTTTCTTTTTTAAAAAAATTATCTTTCCTGCTGGTATCATATTGCTTTTGTGATTTAAAGAAAGAAAGAAAAAAAATATTCAAATTAACCTCCCAAGGTTTAAAAGTGTATATTATATGGGCCTCTGATTCCTTGATGTAGGGTTTTTTCCCTCTAATTTGCATTAGGAACTTAAAGTCCCTGAATCTTAAAACCCTATGTCATTAGGAATAGGGTTGAAGTTAGTGAGTTAATAAATCTCTGAGGAAGTGAAGCATTTATCTTTTCAAAATCACCTCCTAAATCTTAATGTCCATTTGTTATATTGTCAAACTGTAATTCCCAAAAAATAGGAGAGAAGGAAAGCAAAGAAATTGGTCTAATAAGCAAGAATTAGAACGTAGATGATAAAAATGAAGTACCAGGAGGAATACCTTAATGAGTATTTGTCTCTATCTTTCAAATATTCTGTATTGTTTTTGTATTTCCAATTTCTAAAAAGCCTGAAAGTTCATGCTTAAATCAGGATTAGAATTTTTTTAAAGACTTTATTTATTTATTTAACAGAGAGAGATAGGGGGAGACAAGGAACACAAGCAGGGCAGGGACAGAGAGAAAGGGAGAGGCAGACTCCCTTTCGATGCAGGGCTCGATTCAGGGCTGGATCCCAGGACCTCAGATCATGACCTGAGCCAAAGAAAGAGGCTTAATGATTGAGCCCTCCAAGTAGCCCAGGATTAGAAAATCTTATACCTTAAATATCTTCTTGGTCAATGAACATAGGAAAAAATATACCAGCTAATCCTTTTTTTAAATCTTTAAGTAAAAATGTGAATAATAGTTTAGATTGACCTTTAGGAAGACAGTACAGTATAAATTTATAGAAAGCAAAGCAATATTCAAAGACTGACATCACACCCATATTTTAAGATAGTAGTATTTCATCTAAACTTGGCTTCTTGGTTTCTTCATTATTAATAAACAAATTTTCTTATAGTCAATCAACAAATATTTCCCCTATCCAAGTATGTGCAAAGTAACTAACTGTACTAGACATTATAAGCATTCTAATTGGAAAATGTATGTTCATTCACTGAAACAAATTCAGAAACTTATTTATCTGTTATCATCTGTTATCAAATGACATCAGTTTGAGTATTGCTTTCTCATGTGAATGGGCTTTACAGCAATTTAATGAGAATACAGGAACTAATTGCATCATAGTTTTATAATTTTGGAGTAATAATTATGTGGCTATGTTATTTAATATGAATAAACCCCACAGGAAATAAAAATTCTGGAAGGTATATTTCAAACCTAACCAAGTTCTCTGGCACTGGAAATACTCTGGGAGGTGACCTTCACCTGCATCACTAAATGATGTTTCAAATATCACAGGGCCTGGAGGTGACATTTTCTTTCTATTTATTTATTTGGCAGAGAGAGAGAGAAGAGAGAGATCACAAGCAGGCAGAGAGAGAGGGGGAAGCAGGCTCCCCGTTCATCAGAGAGCCCGATGCAGGGCTCCATCCCAGAACCCTGAGACCATGACCTGAGCTTAAGGCAGAGGCTTAACCCTCTGAGCCACCCAGGCACCAGGTCACATTTTCTGGTCTAAGTCTTGAATCGGCATGAAGAGAGCAGAGACCTGCTTTCATGGCCCCACCCCAAAGACTCTCCTATAGAGGGAGCCTTTCTCCTCTTCGCCCAGAAACATTTCTCTGTCAGTAAAGCAAATAATTTCTGCCACCCTCTCCAAATTCCCAGGGAGGTGCTGGGGAGAATCTGTTCCTCTGGTTTGCTTGCTCCTCTCCGCAGGAAGTCTAGCCAGTTTGATGAGTAGAAGCAAGCCCTTCACAGGGTCACACTTATCTCTGTCTGCTATCAGTCAGGTTTGAGAGCCAGGCCTGTGATTCTTCTTGCCCATTGGTAACTGTCCTCAGACCCATAGAAAGGGTTCTACGCTCAAATAGCAGAAAGCTGTACTTCGGCTCTATTTCTAGCAAAATCCTTCAATATAGTTGTACCCAGACCTTACACTTAGGGTGTTATTGGGATTCCATTAATTAAGCTGACACTTTGACCTCCATTTTAGTTTTCTTGAGCCCATTCTCTGCTGAAAGAATCAGTCTAACAGAGTGGTTAAGAACATAAGCTCTATCATCAGCCTTCCCAACTCAATCACGTACTAACTCAATGACTTGGATACATTTCTTAGTCAATTCTCTTATCTATAACATGGCATTCTTATTGCCCACTGTTACTATTTTTGCTGAATGTAACGTGGGGAGGATGAATGCGTGATTGGCACTTTAATATTGCACCATTACTGTATGGCAGAGGGAGGCAGTTTCTTTTGTCTAAAGGAGCTGGACCAAACAAGTCATGTAACTACACAATCAAAACACTCAACATTTTTAAAATAAAGCATTAAATAGAAACCATTTTCATAGTTAAACCCAGTTAGCAAAACTTTTAGTAAAGAATATCTCTACTTTTTGCCAAACCTGACTTTTTTTTTAAATCCGTAGAACATCTTAACCACCAAAAAACCTCTCTTTCCTTCTACTTAAACATTCGTGATACATAATTTTCTCCCTATTGGTGGATATGGGTAAAGAATGGTGCTTAGAATGAAAAATAAATGAACAGAATCTCCTTTCACACACGCTTAGTCAATAATGTTACAATCATTTCTCAAGCAGCATTTGAGAGTCCCATCAGGCTTGTGCTGAAGCTTCCTGGGCACAGCTAGGGTTACTGCTGACACTAAGCAATGTTGTTTCTGTGTACAACATTCTGGTACCCTATGTTCTTCAAGACTAAGAGAAAGGAACTAAAGGAAGAAAGAGGAGATTTAATCCCAATCCTCTGCCCCAACCCCGAGGACCAATCTCCTAGTATCCTGTAGGGTTGGGATCACAAGAAATGGTCCCCTGTGTTATAATGTGTACAAATTATTAAGGAGTTCCTCTGGGTCCATTGTTTTGCATAATCAATATCAAAATAACTGTATGAGCTACATCTATTTTTTTTTAGGTGAGGACAAAGAGACAGGATTTGCCAAAGTAACCATGATTCAAACCTAATTGTCTCTCATCCAAAACTTATACACCTCTCCAACCTACTAAGAAGGTGTCCATGTACATGTCTGATTTTAAGAACCTGAGAAGGGTCCTGTATGTGAGTCCCCACTTCCAGTTTAGAGTGTGGTGAAGAGAGTGGGGTCAAGAGCCAGAATGCCTGGGTTCGAATCCCATAGGCTATAAAATCTTATCCAGATTTTCTACTATGTCTTTATCTTATGCTCCATCTATCAAATGTGGAGAATACTTAGATCTGCCCATGAGAACATATAAAGAAATAGAGAAAGTGCCCAAGAAGACTACATGCATTACAGACTGTCTCCAAATGTCCACTTCCTACGTCAAGCCAATCTGAACCATGCTGACAGAAGATCTTCTTTGTGCCATCCTCAATCTTTATTCTGCTGGGTTCTATTATTTCATTTCTAGCAAGTGCACACACATACACGTACACACACACACACACACACACACACACACACACACCCCAAATCCACAAGGCCAGAATCAGACTGCAGTTCCATATTTCCTGGTAGAATAATTATTTCTGATTATGAATTTCTGTATTAATGTAAGTAGAGCACAAATCCAGATCTCTCCACAGCATCCTCAAGTCACCAAGGGATAGTTAGCATGATGTCTGTTTAAAAACACAGCATTTGGAGACAAGCACATCTCAGCTTTGCCACTAACTTGCTGGGTAAAACCTCCCCTCTGAGCTTTAGTGCTCCCGTCCCTAAATTGGGATAATAATACCTGCTTCATCAGATGGTGAGAGATAAAAGGACAGAACATGTTAGTCATCTGTGTCATGCACTAAATGTGTGAACATCTTTATAATTATCTAGATTTGCCATTTCATGTTTCTTAAAAGCATGTGATGTCATAGTTCTAATTATTTCAAAACACCTTTAAAGTCACAAACTGTATGACAGGTTTTGTCAAATTAGGTGTCAGTTTTGTTCTTTACTTTCTGATTGTTTCATAAAGCTTAAGAAGCACACCTACACGACTAATATTTCCAAAGGGAGTCATCGTATCAGAGGCTTTTCACATATTTCGATAGTCTATAGTTGTGGAGTGAGATATCCTGGCTTTCTATTATGTGGAGGTAGAGTTACTGTCTTAAAAGGAAATACGTGTTTTTTGTCTGAATAAATGTATCAGTTTGGCTCAGCCTCTGTTGGGGGTTATGTGTATTTGACATCTAAATGTCTTTGAATTGTGGTATTTTAATGACCTAGCTTTAATAGCATGTCTGTCATTGTTTACCAACAGAACAAACCTCTGAAAGTTTGAAAAATTGTCAAATAGGAGAATCTCTGTGAATAATAACAGCTTTTATATATGGAGCATAGGGAGCAGGTACTGTGCTGAACTCTTGGCAGCCTTAATCTCGTTTACTTCTTCCAATACAATAGAATTTATCTCAAAATTTTACTCTTGCTATCATTTTACAAAGGAGGAAATGGGCTTAGAAAAATAACCAGTTCGCGTGTGAGACAGAGGAGAACATTTAGGATCTACTCTCTTAGCCACTTTTGAGTATATAATATGATATTATCAACTATTGTTAGAGCAGAGCTGGAATTTGAACTTGGGTCTGTCTAACTTCAGAGCCTACTCTCAAGTTAGATGGCAGCCTCCCAGTGGTTTACAGGGTCCTAGAGACCAGTGTCCCATGGGCACTATGTGGGTAGACATGTCCCCTGATAATGCTATAGACTGGTTTGAGACAAGGGAAAGATTTGCCCAGTCTTAGTCTACCAGCAAGCACATTTTCTTCAGAGAAATAAGCCAATTTGCTACTTGTCCTAGACTTTATTTTAAAAATGTACCCAATGCAGACATCCTTCTCTGGTGGCTTCATCTTTGTTGAAGCTAAAACTGGAGTATTCAGTTCAAAACATAATGAAGAAACAGGAAAGTACAGGCCCTTGACCCAGAGGTCCATGTCTAGCTTGGCACTGCCCCTTTGGCCCAGAGGCAGAGCCTTCCCCACAGGACCTCGCCACCTGCCTACTTTTGAAGATTCTCATTCTAACTTTGGGAGCACTTCCCTGCTCTCTCGGTCCCCATGGCTGGTTGGGGCTCAGAAGCAGTATAAGCAGCCGAAGGGGGGCATTCACTTACTGGGAAGGCAAGGGGCGTTTGATTCTGGTGGTGACCACCTGCTCTCCATCCTGCTCGGGCCTCTCCTCGGTCTCCCCTCCATAGCCGCTGTCCTCTGTGTCGATGCTGTCGCTCCTCCACTTGGGCTCATCCTGTTCCATCTCTTTCCAGCCTTTGGTCAGCTCGGATACCAGGTTGGCACATTTCCTCCTCCGTGTCGGGGAGCCATGGTTGTGGAGGATTCTGTCAATGTCATTTTCTGGGTGCCCGGCTCCAGGAATGTCGCCGTCCTCGTATCGGTGGCTGAGGTGGCCCACATCCCCTCCTCTCTCATAAGCTTTGCTGACAACTGTTTTGGTCACCTCTTTCCTTTTGATAGGAGAGACTTCGGTGGCTCCCTCTGAACTTTGTCCATCTCCATGTCCCTCTGACTTTTGGGAGGGGGACTTTGGGGTGCTCTGAGCTTGCTGGTGGAGAGTGGGGTTGACCACTGACTTAGGGGCTTGGGGTGCGTCCTGGGTCCCTCCTGGCTGCCAGCCTGTGGGCTCTTGGGCCTGCCTGGTGCTGTTCTCATTTGCCCACTGCTGCCAACCTCGGGCCAAGCTGATCACCAGGGTGGCTGTGCGTACCTTCCGGAGGGCACGCTTGGCTGGGGCCTCCTCTCTTTCCTTTTCTCCCAGAGCCATGCCACCTCTCTCTTCTCTGCCGATAGCCTGGGCACTAGCTAACATGAGTATGAACCTGGGGAGTGCCTGAGATTTAAATAGAAGCAGGGTGTGAGGGTGGGTGGGGAAGAGTTTGGTGACGGTGGAAACTATGTTAAACATTTCTTGCCAAGATGTGGTGCCTTCCCCTGATGGTGTGCTTTTTTTAAACCCTGAGGTCTCCAGTTTCATCACAGCAGAGGAATATCTCTGCTGCTAAAGGACAGTGATATGCGCTCCCTTTCTTCTTGAGTGCCAGAGTGGAAATTACTAGATTTGATCATGTGCTCAGCCTTATGTTCTTCCTGACCTTAAAATATGGTCCTACCATTTATAGGAGCATAAAATATGAGCACAAATTGTACTAGGAATATTATAGGCTTGTTCTCATTTAAATCTCAATATAGCTCTTAATTAAGTCCCATTTTATAGCAGAGTACAATGAACTCAAACTTCCTACAGCTAATAACATCTGTGATTCAAACCCAGATCTGTTCGATTCAAAACTCATGCTGTTTATTCTAGTTATCAAAGATCCTACGTTCCTTTTTTCTTTTGTTGTCACTGCTATTCAATAGAGACCTTAGAATCACCTCATCCAACCTTCATTTTCCAGATGGGAAAATTGAGGCCCAGATAAGGGGGAGACAAGGGCCAGGTTTTCTGGTCCCAAGATTGAATTGTTACATTGAGAGGTTATTTTGATAAACAAGATAATGGTCAAAATTTTGGTCCAATTTAAAGTCTTTGAGACCTACACACATGTTGAATTTCATAGATTATTATTAGTATAAATATTCTCAAATGTTTTGAAAAAATATTTTGTTTTAAAAAAACACCATTTAAAGAGAAAATAAGTGAATACTGTCAGAAACAATCCCACTTGACCTTTTGTTTTCAATTATACACCCTTCTTTTACAGGCCTTTGGGTTCATGCCAAAAGAGCCACTCATTCAATTCTCAGAATAAAGATTGAAATATCGTTTTAAAAAAGGAATGAATAGGTCATTTGGAGAGAAAATGAACTATATAGGAGGTGTGCTAAACTAGATAAAATTGCTCAGGACTCAGCACTGAATAATTGTTTAAAGTAAGACAATAGAATTTCTTTTCACACAACAGTTCTGTGACTTTGAACTGTGTCCTTTCCTCTAATCAATATTGATGGAGAGCTGCTGTCTAAGAGCATACAAACTCCACCAAAGATAGTTAATTCCAACGATGAAACAACTTCATTTAAAAAATATGTTGATGTCAATTTTTCATCATGTAGGTCATTTACCACCTAAGATTAAAACAATTTGGGAGATGATTTAATACTCTATCTAGAAATCTGTCAGATGTGTACTCTGAGTTCAACAGCATCTGATAATGTTAACTGAAAAAAAAAAATCCTTCTTGATTAGGAGTAAATTAGATCACAAGGAAAGAAAACTAATACAAATAACGATTTAAATCTGAGTCTGAAATTTCTGGCATACTTTCTTGGAATGTAGATGTGCTGCAGACTGTTTGGTTCCTCTTAGATTCCCTCCATCCCACATGGAAGGCCTTGGGAGGGAATGGGGTTCTTTAGAGATACCCATGAACTTAGTCCAGGTCCAGGACAATTTATGACTATCCAAGGAATTTTTCTTCTTCCCTGTGCATATGTGCTCAATATTCAGTTCTGATAGAGGGAGATGAAGTGGAGACAGCAAAATGTTATTGGAGTTTCGATATTAACAGGAATTGCAGTCCACTGCCTGGGGCTTGGGACTGTCAGCAGATGGTCTCAGCAAAAAACTGAGACAGCTCCTAACCATCTGGTCATTTCTTCTGAGATTTCACTTCCATGGCAACTGTGGTTCTTCATTCCTACATCTCCAGAAGAGTGTGTAAAATTGGTTTCCTTCCCATGTCTACTTTGGGCATTCCTTCCCTAAAGCAAGGTCTGTATACTACCTCTGTACATTTTATTAGTTTTTTTAACTTTATATTTTTAGATTTATTTATTTGAGAGAGCACACATGAGAGTGAGAGAGAGGGAGAAAGCATGAGGTGGGGGAGAGGTAGTGGGAGGGGGAGAAGCAGGCTCGCTGCTCAGGCAGAGCTTGTGGCAGGGGTTGGGGGGCTCAATCTCAGGACCCTGGGATCATGACCTGAGCTGAAGGCAGACGCTTAACTGACTGAACCACTGGGCTCCCCACTACTGTACATTTTAAAAGAAATGTTCTATCTTCTTTCTCAACCTAGATCTAGATTCTTAGGAGTTCAGTATTCTTCTATTTTTTACTTTTTAAGATTTTATTTGTTTATTTGACAAAGAGAGAATTAGCACAAGTAGGGGGAGTAGTAGGCAGAAGGAGAGGGAGAAGCAGGCTCCCCCACTGAGCAGGGAGCCCAAGGTGGGGCTCAATCTCAGGACCCCCCGATCATGACCTGAGCCAAAGGCAGACACTTAACGACTGAGCCACCCAGGCACCCCTGTATTCTTCTATTTTAATAGAAGGTGCAAAAGAAATGAAAATGGAGTCTCAAAGATAAAGATATTGTGAAACAAGTAGTTTACAAATGTGAATTCTTATGAAAACATGAGATTAGAAACTGTAGGTGAAGGGGCCGCGCTGTTTAATGAAATAATTATCACCTAAGAAATTTGTCATAAGTGTGAAAGTGTTTTGAAAAAATATTAGTTTTGGGGTGCCTGGGTGACTCAGTTAAGCTTCTCCCCTCAGCTTAGGTCATGAGCCCAGGGTCCTGGGATCAAGGCCCACATTAAGCTCCTTGTTTGGTGGGAAGCCTCTTCTCCTTCTCCCTCTGCCTGCCCCCCCCCCCACTTATTCTCTCTCTCTCTCTCTCTCTCTGTCGAATAAATAGATAAAATCTTTTTTAAAAATATTAGTTTTTACTTGATTGATATAGGCAATACTAAAGAGGGGAAGGCGTTGAATCTATAGATTTCTTTGCATAATGCACTGAGAAGTCAAGTAGGGCCAACCCTCATCATCAGCTATATACTCTTACTAAAAAGACTTCAGAAGCCTTCATTTTCTCAAAACTCATCTGAAACAATAATACCATTGATCCTTTCTACATAAAGTAGTAGTTTCTTTAGTAGTTCATGTTCACAAAGTGGGTATAAAAAGACTTTAATAAAGGACAAAAAGAGCTTCTGATTTCAACTGAATTTACTCAGTGCTCATGGAATGTATAGGATGGGTGAAACATGATGGTAGGCAATGTGAGAGAGGGTAGAAAGCTGAGCAAAACAGAACCTACTTTCAAGGTTTTCCCAATCTACCCAGAAGAGTACAGACATAACAGCTTTAATAGTGTGGGGAGGGCTACATTAGAAATAGAAATAAAGCTTTATGGGATCATTGAGCAAAGGGTGACTGATGTTATTGGAAGGACCTCACAAAAATGGTGATCCTCTTCCTGTTTGTTTGTTGTTGTTTTTTTTCCTTTTTTTTTTTTTTTTAAGATAAAGAGAACCTAGCAGGTGGATACAGGGTACTCTGATCTGAAGAAACAAAGTTACAGAGGCATGAAGATACACGTGATACACTTAGAGACCCTCCAGCCGCCTGGAGTAGAGAGCACAAACTCAAATGCCTGCGGGTCATACGGGTCACTCAAATGTGTGAGGTGAGTTGGGTTGGGATGCAAGATAGGGTGGTGAGGACAATGAGGAACTGGTGAAATAATGTTTCAAGAGAGGGAAGAAATGTGGATTTTTGCAAAAACTCTCCCAATTCTTTAAATGGTAACACTTAATACTCACAAACACACACATATACATGTTCACACACAGTAGTACTGGTTGAGCCAACATGATGCGGCATGTCTTTGGATAAGATTGTTTGTGGGCCCCAGTTTATGAATTTGGAGAAGAGCATACAGTGTCCATGGGGTAAAGATAAGGGGCCAGGAAGTGGTATGACAGGCCTCTGAGGAATTAAGTTGGAGCTACATTGTGAACAACACCTTGCTCTGGAATCAGTGTTTCATCATATGGAGCTCATTGTATCACTGAAGTATTTTAAGCCCAATGCACTCTCAAATTTGCATTGCCAAGTGATCCAATCTAGAACCAGTAAAGTGGGGTTTGGATTGAAGAAGATGAAACTAGGATAGGGAGACTGTTTACAGGGGTTACTAAAATAATCTCAGGAAGAACCAAAGGAGGATCTGAAAGATTTGAGAGCCACTGAGGAGGAATATCAAAAGGATGGAGACACCGACTAGTTGTGTGGGTAACAGGTGTCAAGGATGCGCTAGAGATTTCAATTTAAATGATGGGTGTGAGGAAGTGCCATTAGCTAGGAAAGAACAGGAAATGAGGAGGATTTGTGCTGAGAAGGAAAGGCTTCCATCCTGAAGTGAGGAAGCTCTGTGGCATGCCTGTGGAGATGTTGAGTCCTGAGTAACCAGGGACACGGACTCTGTGGTCAAGCAGCAGCCAGTGGAAATCTGGGTTCTTCTGGTGAGCAGGATGACCTGGGCTATGTTAGTTGATTTCTCTCTGATTCAGTTTCTCCAACTGTAAGATGAGTATTATCAGAGCATCTACCTCATAGGGTCAGGGTGAGGATTAAATGAGTTCACACCTGTGAAGCACTAACAGCACACCCAGCATGTGTAGGTGCTTGATATGTGGCTATTGTTATTCATACCTGGACGTTGAGTCATGGGGTTAGAAAGTTCAAGCTCCTTAAATAATTCTGTTTGATGAAAGATAGGATTAATACTGTACACATGGCAGGGGTGAGTCTTCAGAGGGGAGGGTCAATTGGGGTCACTTGTAGGGGTTGGAGGCTGCAAGAGAAAGCTTATTTATAGAGTTTTATTTTAAGGTAATTCATAGTGAGGCTTTTAAAGCAGTGTCTAAAAGGTTTCCCTCAGCATGATGAGGGTCAGATGAGGTCTCAGTTATGTGCTAGCGATAACTCCGTTGAGTGCAGACTCTTTCCTGAAATCTCCTGGAATACAGAGCTCTGTGGTTTACAATCACTGAGAATCACATTAG